AGGTTACTGGGCAAGAGGGATTTTTTTCAGCTGAACTAGGCCGCCAATTCCTATTATCTTGTCACTGTGTGAGCCTTGACTCATTATTATATAAGTCACTGGTTTATATCCTTTGGAGTTAATTGGTTTGAAAGTCTTTGAATTCTATAACCTTATAAAGCTACATCTCAGCCTCCTGCTTTGCTCTTCCCTAAGAAATGTGCCAGAGAACAGTGGGATTCCCATAGATGCTTTTGGGAAAGTTGGGTGAAGAATCCTTACAATGTGCAGGAGTTTGCCATGTGTTTTGGCTGATGAAAAACTATCTGTTTCCAACTAAAAAGAATAAATTTCCTCTTGTAAAATTGCCAAATGCTTCAGTGAGACATCTCGCTGATGTCAGCACTGCCGAAGGCATGACAAAGCCTCAAGACTCCTAGTTTGTTACACATGCATTTTTAAGGCCAGATTCTTCCATCTGGGTACTCAAAAACGTGGGAAAAGATTGCAAAACTGTCTTACTTCTAGAAGTGGGTTAGAACCTCACTACTGAGATAAAATCCTTCCCTACATTTGCACCTTTAAAGGTGTTAAATGTTCAGTTGGAATGAAAGTTGGAAGGCATTTTTCTCCAAAGCTTGCCAGTCAAAATAGGGAAGCTATGCTTCTCTGAATATGCAAAACCTGAGATTTCTGAGTCTACCAAAGCTCATTCTTAGTCCTAAATTCCTACCTGTCCATTCCCTCTGCTCCATCCAAAGTACTGGGAAGAAACTTGCCCTCCCTGCCCTGACTCCACAATCATAACAAGCATTTGTGGAGAAAGTCCTGGTACTTTAGATCAGCTCTGTTTGCCTCAGCTATTTATAATAAGGCTCTAAACTCCATGTGAGCTGCTTCGCTGTAAGTTTAGTGATAAAAGACACATCTATGTGTATGCTGTGTGCTCAAAATGCTGCTGCCTGACTGCAGTCTACAACAGAGCCTTGAATGTATTGAGGGAAACTACAAATACGGAACATCTGCTTTCTGGAGGAGTGAGTCTGAGCTGACCCAGAGCTGTGTTTCTCAAAGGGCTAACAGGCTTGGCTGTTCTGAATTTTAGAAAATCAAAGACATTTGTTAAAATATAAAATGAAATAAATATTGAAATAAAGAAGTACTTCTTTCATTATTGCCTCTTACATGTAGGTTGCAGAGTCTTCATGCTGATGGGCAAGCTGCTCATGTGAAAAACTCCAATGAACATTCCTCAAATTAAATTAGGACTGTAACACATGCTGGGGAGCAGGTTGCCCCGGAAAGTTGTGCAGTCTCCATCCCTGAAGGTATTCAAGTTCAGACTGGATAAGCATCTGCACAATCTGGTCTGACCTTATAGCTGATCCTGCTCTGAGCAGAAGGTCTAAAGACCTTCCTGAGGATATTTAAGACCATCTTGGATCTTGGTTTTATACTTGAGGTTGTCAAAGACCTTTCTTCACAAAAAAACCCAACATTATTGACTTCACCTGCAATCAGAGGACAAAGGATCGAGCTTATTTGGCAGGATTCAAATCAGAAGTGATCCTGCTATGAATTAAACCCTGTGTCCTAGATTGTAAACTCTATCTGGGTACAAATTTTAGCAATTATTTTTAGTAATGACTTTTAGGCAAACAAAAACACCCTGCAATCCTTCGAATCTGTCTCCTAGAGTCTTAAATTTAACCACTCTCACTGTCAGACTCAGGCTTCAACTACAGTCTTAACTGACGTGTACTGAGGTTCTGACAAAAAGGATTTGAATAGTATGATTTGATGCAGTTTGGGCAATGGGAAAAGGTGCTCCTGAAAGAAACCCAACTTTATTCTAAGGATTTTTTTTCTATGCAATTTTAATGACTATCGATGCTGATAGGGCCACACACCAGATGCACAGATAGGCAGATAAGTTAGAGGAGACTTTCTGGCTGATGGCATGGTGATGAGCCACAAGGGCTGAGCCTTGAGTTTCACACTAATTCATTGTGTAACTTTGTGTGTATAAGCCCTAGTAATACTGGGAGACCTGCAGTAGAAGTGAGACATCCAAGCTAAGAAACATCTTCTTTTTAAGGCTTGACTGGTCAACAAATGTCCATGCTGAGCTCTTCTCTATTGTCATGATTAGCTCTCTTAAATAAGCAATTTCCCTAGCTGAATGATCTCTCTAGGGAGATTTTGCAACATGTTTCTGCTCCAAAATCGAAATGGCCTGATGGGAGACTGAGCTAATGATTTACAGCAGACGTTGTGTCAGATTGAAATGGACTTGTGTAGCCAAAGCTATTAAACAAGCCAGTGATGGTTTTAAGTGTAAGATAGGACTGATGTAGGCAAGGTAGAGCCATCATTCTACAGTGATAGCAAGGAATATTAATTCCTTTCATGCCATTTATTGGATGTATATGGCTATATTTGTCAATTTTATGGTTCTGAACATTTTAGCTATGTGACAGAGCCCAGTCTGTAACCACCTTTGAAAAAAGAACTTGGTTTTCATACTGGCTAAAGCTGGATATTATGACAAAGAGTCAAAAGAATAATACAGTATTCAACAAGGATATCTGGCACTGCACAAGTAGTCTGTTCTGCAGCTATGCCATAAGCTTCCTTCCTGCTTTTAGGCAAATTGCTTCATGCTTCCATGAGTAGTATACAGGACGTTTCTGTTGATCAGTGTGGGATATTAGTGATATCTTTTACTTTTTTTAATATAGAAGTAGAAACACATGTGCTACCTACCCAGGAGCTGATTTTGATCAGACTTGTCTGTCTTTTATAAATCCTTTAGTCTTGTATTGTTTCTGGTGTGCTATTGTGTGTATATGTGTATATATATTATTTACACATATATATATATATAGTATCATGGTGATTAATAAGCAATATGGTAGACATATGCAAAAGAATGAAAGGAGTGTCATTAGACCCTGAGAGTCCTAAAGTTAATAGTTATGGTGGTTTTATTACTCTAAGCATCAGTGCATATACTGTGTTTGGCATCTTTATGCCCTGTTGCAAAGTGATAAACCAAGTACTTGGGTACACATATATAAGCATGTTACACACAGGTATGCAA